ATAAAAATAGCTAAAGAATTCCATTTGACTTTAGACATTGTCTGATAGAAACTTGAATCTCAGCCATTTTACCTTGCAATTTATGCTATTTTTCTTTTTCTTTGTCTTAGTGTCACATTTCTGGTCTATCAAATATAGAGTAAAGAAATTCTCAGTGTTAAAGAAGCTCCACACCTCAGATGGAGTGGGTGTGTCCTCTCACCCAATCCAGATAAAACCCTGGAGGCCACGAGGAGGCAAAACCCAGGTATGTGGGTTCAGGGACTAAGACTCCAGGCCACATGGTGGCAAAGGAGATGGACCATCCCTTCCCATCTCCCCACCCACTTGGGGTCCTGGCTGTCATGACCATGATCTGCCTCCAGGTACCATCTCAGAGTATCAACGTCCTTGATCCAGAGACTCCCAAATGAATCTCAAAATGGATTAGCTCCCTACAAAGATGTCTCTGGACCCCAAGCATTTATAATTTTAGAATTCCAGAAGTGCATGGTTGCTTGTGCGACCACACAATCTCTCATGATAGTCACAACAAACAGTAGAAAATAAATGATCTACCATCGCCCCTGGGCTGAAGCGATAACACAGAGGGTAGGGTGTTTGCCTTGCATGTGGCCAACCCGGATTTGAGTTCTCCGTCCCTCTCGGAGAACCCTACAAGCTACCAAGAGTATCTCGCCCGCCTGGCAAAGCCTGGCAAACTAACAGTGACGTATTCAATATGCCAAAAACAGTAATAACAAGTCTCACAATTTGTTGTGAGATGTTACTGGTGCCCACTCAAGCAAATCGATGAACGATGGGAGTGCTATAGTGCTACTATCTCCCTCTGGTAGGCAGGCTGGAATAGAGCTGGGAAGGTGTAATGGTGGTGGGATTGGTGTTGAAATATTGAATATAATTAATTATTGTGAAAAACCTTATGAAAATAAAAAAATTTTTTAAATATTTTCCAAATATATTCCTTTGTTTTGAAAAGTTTGATTATTTAAACCACTTTTTCCCAGAAAATGGGAGGAATCAACCTCCCTAACTTCAAACTTTACTACAAAGCAGTAATAATCAAAACAGCATGGTACTGGAACAAAGGCAGAACTGCAGACCAATGGAACAGGGTTGAATACACTGACATCTCCCCTCAATCATATGATCATCTAATCTTTGATAAAGGTGCAAGAAATGTGAAGTGGAGTAAGGAAAGCCTCTTTAAAAAATTGTGCTGGCATCACTGGACAGCTACATGCAAAAAAATGGGCTCAGAACTCTGCCTAACACCATGTACAAAAGTAAGATCAAAATGGATTAAAGACTTCAACATCAGACTGGAATTCATAGGGTACATTGAAGACAAAGTTGGCAAAACCCTCCATGACATTGAGACTAATGGTATTTTCAAAGATGCCACGCCACTGGCCGAGCAAGTGAAAACAGAGATAGATAAATGGGACTATCTTTTTTTTTTTATTAGTGAAGCACCATGAGGTACAGTTGTAGATTTACAAATCTTTGTGCTTCAGTTTCGGTCATACAATGATCAAATACCCATCCCTCCACCAGTGCCCATTTCCCCCCACCCCCCCTCCCACCCTGCCTCTGTGTCAGGGCATTCCCCTTTTTTCTCTCTCTCCTTTTGGGTGTTGTGGTCTGCAAAAGAGGCATTGAGTGGCAATCATGTTCAGTCCATAGTCTACTTTCAACATGCATTTCCCCTCCTGGGAGGATCCTCCAAACACCTTTTATTTGATGTTCCCTTCTCTATCTGAACTGCCCTTTCCCCTAGAATATCCGGTTGGCCTCTAAGCTATGGAGTAATCCTCCTGGTGTTGATCTCAGCTATTCTTAGGTATTGATCTCATATTTTGTTGCTTTATATCCCCCAGATGAATGCAATTTTTCTATGTCTATCCCTCTCTTTCTGACTCATTTCGCTTAGCATGATACTTTCCATATTGTATCACTTGTATGTAAATTTCATGACTTCATCTTTTCTAAGAGCTACATAGTACTCCATTGTGTAGATGTACCAAAGTTTCTTTAACCAGTTATCTGTTCTTGGGCACTCAGGTTTCTTCCAGTTTCTGGCTATTGTAAAGAGTGCTGCAATGAACAAACAAGTGCAGATGTCACTTCGACTACACATTTTTGCCTCCCTGGGGTATATTCCCAGGAGTGGTATCGCTGGGTCAAATGGGAGCTCAATTTCTAATTTTTTGAGAAACGTCCATACTGTTTTCCAAAAGGGCTGAACCAGTCGGCATTCCCACCAACAGTGAAGGAGTGTCCCTTTCTCGCCACATCCGCGCCAGCATCGGTTGCTTTTGTTCTTTTGAATGTGGGCCAGTCTCTGAGGTGTGAGATGGTATCTCATTGTGGTTTTGATCTGCATCTCCCTGATGATTAATGATGTAGAGCATTTTCTTAAGAAGTTTCTGCACCTCCAAAGAAACAGTGACCAAAATACAAAGACAGTCTACAGAATGGGAAAGGATATTCGCCGAAT